GTTTGAACCAAACTAAAGTGGGTGGAAATATATTTTATATTTTTATATCAAATGGCAGGCGTCTTGAAGGTTATCATTAGCCCTTTAGCCGACTTAAGGCTTCACAAAGAGGAAGGTACATCAAATTGAAAAAAGTCGAGAGGGAGGGGGAACAGAAGAGTGTTTCAAAGATGTAAAAGAGACAGACACAGAGGTATTAAAAAGGTGAGGTGAGTACTATAGAAGTAGTCGAATAGGACATATAGTGAGGTGATGGTAGTTTGAAGTGAGAAGTCAACTGCCAGTTAATAGACTTTTTTTGCCGTATAAGTATAGGTTGTCCAGGGTGCACCACATGGAGGTAAGTCTGTCACACACCCCGTGAGCGGTAATATAGTGCCGTGACGGAGCTCGGATGAGCGCTTTTTTGGATATAAATAGTCAGCGGCCTAAAAATTAGCTCCAATAAACTCCACTTGAATGCTTTCATTATGCAATTGCGAGGACACTTAAGCAGGATTGCTTATCATTACTTGAGGTTTCATGAATCAAATTGGAATTGAAATATAAACGGTTAAGTTATGGTACTGATAGACCCAATTAGCATTTCATTGTCATAATTATAGTTGCGTTTAGGGAACGTTAACTTCAAATCAAAGAAAATAAATGGGTTCATGGAAATGTTGTCTCCATGGTAAAGCGCAGCTGGTAGGCTTAGTTTTAGCTTTGCAGGGTATCATAGCCTAAACTGTGGCTTTAATTCGCTAAAATTCGTTCCATACTATTGAGTGTTTTGATCAATGATAGCCTGCTCTATAATGAAGAAGAGAAGTAAAACCAAACTAAATGTAATGTCGTGACAGAGCTCAGAATAGTGCTTTTTCGGAAAATATATAGTCAGTGGCAAAATATTTGGCTCAAATAAACTCCTCATAAGTAATTGCGAGGAAACTCACAATAGATCAAAGACACTGGGATTGCAAATCATTACTTTAAGCTTCATGAATCTAATTTGAATTTAAATATTAACGGTTAATTTATGCCACTGTAAGACACAAGGTGAATTTCATTGTCATAATTATTGAAACTAGGGTATATGAGAGCTTACAAACTACCTAAAGAACATGAGTAACCCAATCTGCATCAGTTTATGCTTTGCATTTGAAGAATTATGTCTGAAAACGTCTCAATTTTAAGGTTTCTAGATTTCCCTTTGGTTGTGGGACTTTCGTGTTCTTTCATACCTTTTTAGGCCAATAGGTAACCAATGAGAAAGAAATCCTATGGTGAGTCTTTAGATGTAGAGAAATTCCTAACCCTGGAGAAGTCTATCTTAGCTGAAGCAGCCGTCTATGTCGTCATATAAATCGTGAAGTAAATCACCTCCGAAGAATTTTCCCACTTTAAAAAAAAGAATGTGGCTAGACCATTCTATGTAAGAATGTCATCACCCTTTTTGAAAATGGGATAAATTTCTGTTCTACTTGCATTGTATTCCAGTGAAATTGGTGGAAATTTTGCAGCAGATATTCTTCTAAAGTGATCAGGTAAAATAAGAAAAATCGATTTTCACATGTCAATGTATCGATTGCTCCGAATTGCGTGACTTTTCTCAATTAAATGATTGCAAGTGCTACTCCACTTTTTTATGATGCATGAAACTATGTATTGAACCGGATTTGCAATACCTAGGCATCAGCGGGGCAGTGACTCAATTGGCCATCTGGGAAGTCAGAGACGAAGGAACCGATGTTCATCGATGTATAACCAATGAGTTGAGTGATCAGTCGCGATTGACAAATGTGGCTGATAGAGTAAGTAGACAAAAGGAGTTTTAATTCAGAGAGGATGCATGTCTCTACATTCTGTCAGGCTGTAGGTTGAAATAATGCTTTCTTAAAATCGACGTGCGCTTTATTATTTTGAACTTCTAATTGCTTTTCTATTTGTAAATCAATTCGACTCAATGCAATCTTTAGACAGAGGCAAATGGTTTAGTATTTTATATCTCTATCTTCTTGGGGAGACTCAAAACCGCTACAAATTGCAATTTTAAGGTAAAGAGAAGACAAGTAGTCTAAACAGAAAGAAGTATTTTAAAAGAGAAAAGGGATTACTAGAGCCCGTTTCCTATGAAGTCTTTTCGTTTACTGAGGAAGAACGTAAAATTCTTGATTAAGCTTCAAGAGATGGCACAAGTGACCAAGGCATTTGATTTCCTGTCTCTATTCTCTAAGCCAAGCTGTCTATCTACGGATGCAGATCGTGTTTCGGTTGCTATTTAGATGAAAAAGCTTGAATCTAATGACAACATTGATCAAGAATTAGCGATGATCAGTCAAGAGTCTTATAACTTATTTTAAATTCCAAATATAAGCAGATCTCGTGATGACGTACAATAGAACTGCCATTAAATTTTAGATCATTTCAGTGTAAAAAGCACTTCAACTAGGGTATTGGGCGTGTTGGTTTTTCTGCTTTGTATTGACTCAGCCATAATTTTCAGTTGGTGCCTTTTTGATTGATTGGTCATCGAAGAACATCGAACATGCGAACACACAAATCCTTCCTTTTACTTATATTCGCCTTTTCACTCATACCATCCCAGTAAAAGCGACTCCTCTTTAAACTCTTCCTGTTCTACTCTATTTCAGTTCTAATTTACTATTAGCCTTCTTCCATGGGAAGGGCTCAGGTATCCTTTTAGTTGCATTTCATGTAGCTCTTGAAATACATATGCTATAAGATAAGGGATACCTTAGATTTGTAAATTACTGGCCTTTTCATGGCGATAAAATGTTTAAATTTTTCATTTCAGACATGTACCTCGGAGTTGAAATCTAGTTGGCCTTTTAAAGAGTATTTTCATGAATTTAACTTTGGTTGGATAACAAACTCGGATTTGCATATTTCAACACATTGAGAATCCATTTAAACTAACAGCTTAAATAAGGGTCAATTTTATTTCATGAACTTTAAAATATTCCATGGTTAAATTGAAGCCTCTTTTTTAAACTCTCAAATGTAAGCAGTTCCAGGGCATTTTTTCAAAACCAGTCATACAAATGGACCGAAGTAGGCCATAGTTTAATAGATAAGTGCTTAGTATTTACCAAATGTGTATGGCATCTTTGGCGAAATAAACCTGTAATTCTTTGAAAGAACTTGAATATATAAGGTCACGAAAACTGTCAGATTTTCTAGTGATCTCAAAATAGTAAAAAATATAAAACTAAAATGCTCGTTATTTGCATTTGGATGGATATTGTTTACAGCCAATCATATTATGGATTGATGGAAAGATAAGGTGAATGGAACTCCTACTAAGACACTCAGTGTCTTTGCATAAGTGGCAAAAATCTTGAGTTAAAATGAATCTCATTACTTATTCATCCGAAATGAAAACCCTCTCAAATAAAACTTGTTAAGTATTAAAGATAAATAAATTTTCTCTAATTCCTCCACATTTAACATTATGCCAAAGAATGAATATTAGCTAATGCATTCTTATGCTCATGTAGCATAGTTGGGAAATTCTTAAGGATTCAAGATGTTTAATGGCTGTGCTCTTTACGTAAAGGAGATCTATATTGAAGAATTAAAGTACCATTAACTTAATCAAAGAAATAATATTTTTACAGTTTAGGTTTATATCTGTTTGATAAAACTATCTTAATGGACCATTGTTGATAAATTGATGACTTCGAGACACCATTAATTAAAAACTAGAGATGAACTAGTGGATGTCACTCTTTTCGCACCTACTTATGTACTTGCGTTCCCGAGGAAATTAAAGTTGAAAGTATGTAGGAGGAAACTAATGCATTCAGTGTTGGAGAAAAGGACATTTATAAGATAAAAGCATTTCTCCTAGACAAGTATTAATTGTTGTGGTGCGAAAGTTATTGATATTTTCTTTTTCATGTCTTCAATAAAATATCAACAGTTTAACGTTTCATAAGTTTAAATATTTTTGGAGTAAATTGACTAATTAAGATTATCAATTTAAATCGAAATAATAATTATTAAGAAGAACACAAGATACGTCGCTTGCATTAGATTATAACATAATACAAATCAAAATGTATTTAAAGATCTCACTTTATGAGAAATCAGCTGAGGAAATGCCTTTTTAAATTGACATCCGTTAATTAAATAAATTGTTGCAAACTAATATTCTAATATATGTCAATTTGTGTAACTAATATTTTAATTTTAATCTAAAATACACGAATTATAGAAATACTTGGGACTGTTTTCTAAAAGCACAAAGTCCGATTTCCTAAAACATTTATTAACCAATCAGCCTTCGCCTTTTTTGCTTCAAATAGCCTACTTTTGAATTCGACCATTATCCTACGGTGTGGAGTGATAATTGCTATCTTTGTACCAAATGGATACGAATGATCAAAAGGATTATAATATGATTGAAACGATTCAAAAGAAAGAAAGTGCAGCTTATCTAAAACCAGCATTTGGGCTCAAAATGATGTCTGTTTCTAAATTTCTCGAACCATTTGACGATACTTCTTTGACGGATGAAGACGCAGCACAAAAATATAGTGCATATGTCTCTGTTTTCTTAAAGGAGCAGCTTAATGAGCAATTCGAGCACAATAAATCTTATGCCTGGTTTCGGGATAAATATCATCCCGATCACGTCGTCTCCAAAGAAAAGGAGAGAGAAACCTTGATGGCTCGATTTAACATTTTCAATAAAATGTGGAAAGGGGGTTTTCTTGATAACATTTCATTGGAATATAAAGAAAGAGCTGCAATCGCAAAACTTTTGGATCAGTGTAGGTTTACATGTCTTTTGCTTTTATTTGGTTGACTTCGTGTATTTCACCATATTTCCCTTCTACGTTAGTTGCTATTTTGTTCGCTGGGGGGACTTTTGAAGATTTTGCTGATTTGGAGAGTTTCGACCCTTCATCTACTGTGGGAGATTTATCCGATGAATCTAAATCGTTTCCTCAGCCTGAACCTGAAGTCATAAAACTTCACCGAAGGTCCTCGTCTCCAAAGCTCCCCAGGCATACGAGCAAAAAGGAGACTTCCAAACGTCAAAAGGTTTGATCAATTTGATAACTGAATTGAAAAAAAAATATATTATTTCAGCAGTTATATGCATTTAGTTATTTGTTTTGATTTATAGCAATTAGGTTAGTTTAGTTGGTTTTTACACATCGCCTTTTAAATCTTTCACTCTTTAATTTTGGTCTTTGTGATTCTTCTGACTTTATTTTTACCTTCTTGTAAATTGGATTCAACCATTTCGTTGTGGCTGTTTGATTTACAATTTTAGTTCCTTCACTGCTTTGAAGTTAAGGTAGCTTAAATTTCATACGAGCATGCTTTTTATAACCTGTCCAAATTAGACTTGATGGAGGCTGGAAAGGCCTATGGATCGGAGGACCCAGATACTAAAGTTGCTTCAGCTTCTTTTACTTTTTTTCACCATTTTTTGTATGAAATAGTTTTAAACCTTCTTGACATTATACGATTGTTTTTCAGTCATGATTTTATTTTTAAAATATGTAAATAAATGCAAATTCTTTATACTTCTACATGCGTCTATAATGTTCTGGGAAGAAATTCACGTACTCATTTTTCAGTGAATTGGTCTTTGTTTTTCACTGGTTGTGCAGTGGTCGTCTGCAAAGAGGGTGATTTTCATCATGGCATATGCAGTAGTGTAGGTCAATTCTGATCAAAAGGGGAATCACTATATTACGATTTTTAAGAGTGACTCCTTAATACCTTTCTTCGATCCGAATTAGGTTTAGCTAATAATTTCCTCATTGGGCTTCAGAAACTGGTAGGTGTGTGTCGGGTTTTCTTTCTAAATTTCATGCATTACCTTAGTGAGGCATGTTAACCTCTACTTTTTAGAAGCCCCGGGATAATGCGAAACCCGCTAAACATGAAGATGGAAATAGCAGCGATTCCAGCAGTTCTAATTCTAGCAGATCTTCGTCTTCAGTTTCTAGCTTTGGATCAAGTTCTCGTAGTTCTTCTTCGCATTCAACAAGTTCAAGTTCTTCTTCTTCTTGTTCCAGTTCGGACGCTTCTTCAAGTAGCGGTTCAGTTAATTCTAAGGGGTCTAGAACCCGTAAACAGTCTACGACTAAAGAACTCCATTTAGAGGAAAGCTTTAAAATCGAAGGGAAATCCGAGCAGTTAGACGCGAATGTAGAAATGAAAGAAGATGCTTCGGCGGTTTGTGAAGCGATGGAAGTTGTGGAAGTTGAAAACCAAACATTTGCTGACCAGTTTGAAAAGGAGATAAATCCACCCAAAACTCCTCTCCATGCTACCAGAGTGATTTATTTGCCGTATCTACCGTTGAGCATCCATCGATCTACGCTTGAAACAGTTAGTCCTTTTTTATGCACTTATTTATTAATAATTAAATGTCCTTTTCTTGATTTTCTAAGTGCGGAAATTTTGAGGTCTATGAGCTTTATTAAGCCTTCTCGACAAAATCGACCTAGTACGTAAAAATCATAGAAAGAAAATAGGAGAAGCTTAATATTGAATGGAATAATTTAGCCCCTTTTGTTACCATAAATGAAGCGGATGGTTTTCGTTTTAAATGATCTGATTAAAAAAGCAAAGGACATCAAAATTCCTTTTTTAGTAGTTAACATTTTTCATATGTATTTGGATATACATCTATATATGATTCAATCAATAAGGTTATCTTTTTTATTGTCGTGTCTTTAGGGGTTCACAGACTGGATATTGTTCTCTTGAGCTTATTTGAAGTACTAAATTTGGACCAGACTTAAGTTGATTCACATAAGCGGATAACTAGTGAGATTAAAGGTTCACGAAGTTTTGTAAGCATTGTGTTGCCGTTATAAATTAAAGCTTTCTACTACTTCCAAGATATCTCTTGTAATTACTTACTATCTATATAACCTGAGGTGATTCAACACCTTTTCCACTAATTTGCCATCCTCAAAGTCAGCGCACTGATAGGTGCCTAAATATAAAAACCTGTCTTGGGTGTCTGTTTCATAAATCCGTATTTTTATCATCCGTGAATAAAGTACTGAGTTCAATTGCATAAGACAATGCGAATTAAATTTTTACAATTATCGATACTTCTTTGCATCAATAAGTACTTCATTCCTTCATTTTCCCTGAATGTCTGACAAAATCCATTCTCGCGGTGTCCAGTGCTTCTCGATTGAATTGCCTGTCACAGAGTTTCTACTATAGTCAATATTGGCAAGATGCCAACTTAAATGATTCTAGTGAATCCTCCTTCCTTTATGCCTTGTTGACTGTTTATCTGTTCCTTGAGTTCCGACGCCTTCTCTTGGTATTCAACATTTTTTTGCCTTGTCGTTAGTTTTAATAAGGGTGTAATAAAGGTAGCCTACACAACATTAGTTGAACAACAGATTCCTAACTGCAAGATTTTGACAAATCGTTAGGCTCGGGAATGTTATCCTAAAAGGTAATTGATTGCCTTGCTTTTTATAAGTTCGATAATCGATTTTCCTATACAGACATTTTCTTTGATTTGAGCTGAATTAAGCACAATATCAACACCTGATGCCAATTATGCAAGCTCTCTTAAGTTGGAATTCGTACATACCATGGTGGCTTTTTCACGGTATTCTTTTAAAGAGTAATGAGTTTATAATATTTTATCTTAAGAAAAACGAAAGATACCATTTTTCAAAACGAGAATTCGGATAGTAAAGTAGTTCGATGAGAGGTTATGGAAAGGGGACAGATTTGGTGCAGAAAGTACTTTCGCATCAGCAAATAGTTTGCAATATTAGATCTTTTGGCTCTGATTGTACACTTTTTACCTCTTGAATATCGTTCGCTGTTTCTTTTCTAATTCCAAGTTTGAGGATTTGCTTCCTATTGACCGAATTAAATGGTTTTTTTCAGCTGAAAAATTCCCATGGTACACTTTCCCTCAGTCTCCTAATTAGGCCATTTGTTCTTTTGGTCATTTCAGTTACTTTCTGTACATCCCGACTATCTTCGTTTCGCCTGTCTGGAACCCACCCCTTTGCCCTCTTCAACGCTCAATGTTTCCGGTTCTACCACTTCCTCTCTTCTTCTTCATCGCCCAGCATGGATAACGTTCACTCCGGTTCCATCCGAGTGTTCGCTACCCATTATGGACTTCATTCACCAACTTGTTAGCCGTCTTCGCGCTGATTTTGCCACAAATGAGACTTCATCGGAGGCGTCAGACCTGGCAGCAGCTCTCCAGGCTGCTCGCCTACTACCTTCAGCCTTCAATATCGATCGGATTCGAGCCTCTACTCGTCTGGCCCGTACTCTCGTGGCCACCGTAAACAATAACAAGTCTCCATGCAACCCAGTTTCCTCAAAATCTGTTATGAGAAAACACCTTGTGATGGTATCGAGGTTGGTTGCGCGCCTGGATGAAATCTGGGGTTTGTGGAGACAACCGTGTGATACGGGAACTGCTGATTGGCCAATTCCCAAGGCCACTGACCTTGATCCTCGACGTGGAACTATCTTGGCTGATTTAGTTAATTTGGGTACTCGGACTGGTAACCCATTATTGGAGTCTATTACAGATCATTTGGTAGATGAAACCAATGCGGAAGAAGAGCTACTCCTTACGTCTCGAACTTCAACAGCAAAAATAGACGACACTAGCTCGTCTAAAGAAGCAAACTCTGAACTCGTTAGGGCTCTAGACGCATTGATTATCTACCTTCGCCTTGTTTACTCCATCGATTTTTACTCGCCTGCATTGTATCCTCGTGAAAGTGATATGCCCCATCCATGCTCAGTGTTTCATGTACGTCCTTCTAAAATACCTGAATCAATTGCTGCAAATACTTTTCACCTGCTCAGGCTCATGCCCCCAGCTCCGAGCACAGTGTTTGACAAGGAGCCGACGGAAAAGTCGGCTCATAAAATCTTTGCTCGGCAAATTAGTCGAATTTTCCGTATGATCACACCACTCTCCATTGGTACTATCACAAATGTCAAGGAAATGGAGCCCAGCCTTGAAGAGAATCAGGATATATCGAAATCACAACGAATGATGGACTCAAATGAAACTCGTCTGCGTCTCCTTGGCTATAGAGATGTGAATGAAGTTACCGAAGAATTCATCAAGGTTAATACGAAGCGCAAGAAACGAAAGGTGTAAGTTATCATTCATGTCCTGCTTGCTATTTTCATTGTCAGTTTACTTGATTTTTTGGGGGCAAATTTTAGAGACGTCATTTGGATTTGTCCTCTTTCCGACAAAAAATTCAGAGGACCGGCCTTTGTACGCAAGCATATTCTCAACAAGCACATGGACAAGGTTGAGGCGGAGAAAAAGGAAAAGGTAAATGAGTGCTTTCAAATTACCTAAAGAACATGAGTAAACCTGTACAAATTAAACCAATTGATTGTTCGTCTCAATCTGCATCAGTTTATGCTTTACTTTTGAGGAATTATGCCTGAAAACGTCCCTTTGGTTGTGGAACTTTCGTGTTCTTTCATACCTTTTCAGGCCAATAGGTAACCAATGAGAAAGAAATCCTATGGTGAGTCTTTAGATGTAGAGAAATTCCTAACCCTGGAGAAGTCAATCTTAGCTGAAGCAGCCGTCTATGTCGTCATATAAATCGTGAAGTAAATCACCTCCGAAGAATTTTCCCACTTTAAAAAAAAGAATGTGGCTAGACCATTCTATGTAAGAATGTCATCACCCTTTTTGAAAATGGGATAAATTTCTGTTCTACTTGCATTGTATTCCAGTGAAATTGGTGGAAATTTTGCAGCAGATATTCTTCTAAAGTGATCAGGTAAAAAGCAAAAATCTCGAATTCCATGTTGCAAGTAATAACACGCGCTCTCATAAAAGCTAGCCTTGAAGCTACGTGACACCTTGTTAGGATTAAGTGGCATTTATCAGATTTTTTAGTAAATGGCTTTTACTAATAGCCCCCGTAAATAACATTAGACATTGGATTAAAGTGTATAGCCATCTTAATTTCTATGGCTAGATCATGTAAGATGTTTATAACGACGAAAACAAGAAATGAATGGAGGTGACAAGGTCCACAAGTACAATGATTGAATTAATTTGTTAATAGCCAATAGATATTTCTACCCGGTGCTCCAGATGAAGAATCATGAAATTCGAAGTTTGGAAAGTGAGCAACCCATTATGCAACTTCTGTACAGTCTATATCTAGTTATCAAATAGACCAAGTCCATTCGATTTCTTGGCTTAACTCTTAATTTCCTACTAATTACCGTCCCTTCAATACATATTGAAGTGTTAATTATTTTTCACTTTTTTGCGCAATAACAAGATAATAATGCCGAAATTATTACTCGCCTTTCTTCCTCATTGTATTACGCGATTGGAGGAAGCAATTACGTAGAATATTAACTGTGACAAGCACAATGAAGAAATGAGTGTGGTGCTTTACTGATATCTATATAAGTAGCACTTCAATTTTATCTCTTAAGGCTTACTTCTTCAATACTTACCTTCTGGATCCAATGCGTCCAGAATTGATGCACCCTCCACGACGTCAGTTACCCATTCACTTGCGCAGAGCCGCATCAGTGGACAACGAAAATGAGGAAGACGATGGCGTTGTTGATCGTTCATCGTCAAGACAACGCAAATCATCTCCACGTGGAGTTGGTGGTTATCAGGCCACCCTCGCGGGACGTTACCGGGGCAACAACAGGGGCCACAACAACGGATATGGTAATTATGGCTCCGGGGGACGCGGTGGGGCCTCATCGTTCGGAAACGGCCCACGCCGTTATTGGCGGCCGAATAATTCATGGGGTGGTGGTGCTGGCTACTATAGGTAGGTCATGTGCTCATAGTACATTAACTTGGCTTAAGAGGTAGAAATAAGTCATCTTTGTATTTTTAGATCTGGAGGAAGTAATCGAGGCAATTCATATCGAGATTTGGATGCGCCTAGTTGAAGATAGAAGATGCAAAGTTGTACCTTTTCATAAATGGATATGTGTTTGTTGTAAATTCTTTTGTAAAAGTCATTCGATATTCTAGTCCGTATTTCTTAATTATATGTCCCACTCTAGTGTTGGAATGGTTCAACATGTCGCATTTGATTCTAGCTACTTTAAAAAAGTGTGCGCTCCAAACTGTCGCATTTCAATGAATTGGAGAAACTGAAATTTATGGGCTTAACTGTGCATTCCTTTTGTTAATCCAATCCACGTTTCCATGGGTCAAAAAATTGTAATGCGTTGTGAATCGTGCTTCTTGAAAAAGCTTGCAGCTCGATGTCCTGGTTTCTTCTACGATCTCCCGCCTTCTTTTCACCCTTGAGTGGCTATTGTACTTTTTCAACTCTGTCCCACGTTTTAAAGTTTATAGAACTATTCTTTTT